ATACGTTCTACAGATCATGGATTATGGGGAGGAGGACCCTTCATACGTTCTACAGATCATGGATTATGGGGACCCTTCATACGTTCTACAGATCATGGATTATGGGGACCCTTCATACGTTCTACAGATCATGGATTATGGGGACCCTTCATACGTTCTACAGATCATGGATTATGGGGACCCTTCATACGTTCTACAGATCATGGATTATAGGAGGAACGACCCTTCATACGTTCTACAGATCATGGATTATGGGGAGGAGGACCCTTCATACCTTCTAGATCATGGATTATGGGGACCCTTCATACGTTCTAGATTACAGACCCTTCATACGTTCTAGATTATGGGGACCCTTCATACGTTCTAGATTATGGGGACCCTTCATACGTTCTAGATTTATGGGGACCCTTCATACGTTCTCATGGATTATGGGGACCCTTCATACGTTCTAGATTATGGGGACCCTTCATACGTTGGGATTATGGGGACCCTTCATACGTTCTAGATCATGGATTACCCTTCATACGTTCTCTATGGATTATGGGGACCCTTCATACGTTCTACAGATCATGGATTAATGGGGAGGAGGACCCTCCATACATTCTAGATCATGGGAGGACCCTTCATACGTTCTAGATCATGGATTATGGGGGGACCCTCCATACGTTTCTAGATCATGGATTATGGGGACCCTTCATACGTTCTACAGATCATGGATTATGGGGAGGAGGGACCCTTCATACGTTCTACAGATCATGGATTATGGGGACCCTTCATACGTTCTACAGAACATGGATTATGGGGACCCTTCATACGTTCTACAGATCATGGATTATGGGGACCCTTCATACGTTCTACAGATCATGGATTATGGGGACCCTTCATACGTTCTACAGATCATGGATTATGGGGACCCTTCATACGTTCTACAGATCATGGATTATGGGGACCCTTCATACGTTCTAGATCATGGATTATGGGGGGACCCTTCATACGTTCTACAGATCATGGATTATGGGGACCCTTCATACGTTCTACAGATCATGGATTATAGGAAGAACGACCCTTCACGTTCTACAGATCATGGATTATGGGGACCCTTCATACGTTCTACAGATCATGGATTATGGGGACCCTTCATACGTTCTACAGATCATGGATTATGGGGACCCTTCATACGTTCTACAGATCATGGATTATGGGGACCCTTCATACGTTCTACAGATCATGGATTATGGGGACCCTTCATACGTTCTAGATCATGGATTATGGGGACCCTTCATACGTTCTAGAATCATGGGGACCCTTCGTTCTACAGATCATGGATTATGGGGGGGACCCTTCATACGTTCTACAGATCATGGATTATGGGGGGACCCTTCATACGTTCTACAGATCATGGATTATGGGGACCCTTCATACGTTCTACAGATCATGGATTATGGGGACCCTTCATACGTTCTCAGATCATGGATTATGGGGACCCTTCATACGTTCTACAGATCATGGATTATGGGAACGGGACCCTTCATACGTTCTACAGATCATGGATTATAGGGGACCTTCATACGTTCTACAGATCATGGATTATGGGGACCCTTCATACGTTTTTTACAGATCATGGATTATGGGGGACCCTTCATTACGTTCTAGATCATGGGATTATGGGGACCCTTCATACGTTCTACAGATCATGGACTTTATAGGAGGGGACCCTTCATACGTTCTACAGATCATGGACATGGGGACCCTTCATACGTTCTACAGATCATGGATTATGGGGACCCTTCATTACGTTCTACAGATCATGGATTATGGGGACCCTTCATACGTTCTACAGATCATGGATTATGGGGACCCTTCATATACGTTCTACAGATCATGGATTATGGGGACCTTCATACGTTCTACAGATCATGGATTATGGGGAGAGGACCATTCATACATACTATCATGGATTATGGGGACCCTTCATACGTTCTACAGATCATGGATTATGGGGAGGGGACCCTTCATACGTTCTACAGATCATGGATTATGGGGACCCTTCATACGTTCTACAGATCATGGATTATGGGGACCCTTCATACGTTCTACAGATCATGGATTATGGGGACCCTTCATACGTTCTACAGATCATGGATTATAGGGGAGGAGGACCCATTCATACGTTCTACAGATCATGGATTATGGGGACCCTTCATACGTTCTACAGATCATGGATTATGGGGACCCTTCATACGTTCTACAGATCATGGATTATGGGGACCCTTCATACGTTCTACAGATCATGGATTATGGGGAGGACCCTTCATACGTTCTACAGATCATGGATTATAGGGGGACCCTTCATACGTTCTACAGATCATGGATTATGGGGGGACCCTTCATACGTTCTACAGATCATGGATTATGGGGACCCTTCATACGTTCTACAGATCATGGATTATGGGGACCCTTCATACGTTCTACAGATCATGGATTATGGGGACCCTTCATACGTTCTAGATCATGGATTATGGGGACCCTTCATACGTTCTAGATCATGGATTATGGGGACCCTTCATACGTTCTACAGATCATGGATTATGGGGACCCTTCATACGTTCTACAGATCATGGATTATGGGGACCCTTCATACGTTCTACAGATCATGGATTATGGGGACCCTTCACATACGTTCTAGATCATGGATTATGGGGACCCTTCATACGTTCTACAGATCATGGATTATGGGGACCCTTCATACGTTCTACAGATCATGGATTATGGGGACCCTTCATACGTTCTACAGATCATGGATTATGGGGACCCTTCATACGTTCTACAGATCATGGATTATGGGGACCCTTCATACGTTCTACAGATCATGGATTATGGGGACCCTTCATACGTTCTACAGATCATGGATTATGGGGACCCTTCATACGTTCTACAGATCATGGATTATGGGGACCCTTCATACGTTCTACAGATCATGGATTATAGGGGGACCCTTCATACGTTCTACAGATCATGGATTATAGGGGGACCCTTCATACGTTCTACAGATCATGGATTATGGGGACCCTTCATACGTTCTACAGATCATGGATTATGGGGACCCTCCTCGTTTAGATCATGGATTATCTACGTTCTACAGATCATGGATTATGGGGGACCCTTCATACGTTCTACAGATCATGGATTATGGGGACCCTTCATACGTTCTACAGATCATGGATTATGGGGACCCTTCATACGTTCTACAGATCATGGATTATGGGGACCCTTCATACGTTCTACAGATCATGGATTATGGGGACCCTTCATACGTTCTAGATCAGATCATGGATTACGGGGACCCTTCATACGTTCTACAGATCATGGATTATGGGGACCCTTCTTACGTTCTAGATCATGGATTATGGGGACCCTTCATACGTTCTACAGATCATGGATTACGGGGACCCTTCATATGTTAAGGAATATATTGGGGTGCAGTGAGGAGAGAGGTATACTTCAGGGTTTAGCTAGGGAGGGGATATATTTTGGGATTAAGTGGGGGACGGGGACATGTTGGGGTTCAATGGAAGGGGGAACATGGGGTTCAGTGGGGGGAGGGGAAATAGGGTTCAGGAGGGAACATGTTGGGGTTCAGTGGGGGAGAGGAGGCATGTTGGGGTTCAGTGGGGGGGACAAATTGGGGTTCTGTGTGGGGGGGACAAGATGGGGTTCTGTGGGGGGAGGGGGACATGTTGGGGTTCAGCAGGAGACAAGTTGGGGTTCAGCAGAAGGGGACAAGTTGGAATTCGGTGGGGGGGAGGGGACATGTTGGGGTTCGGTGGGGGAGGAGACAATTTCGGGGTGACGTGGGGTGTCTATGGGTCTCTCGGGCCGCACCCCCCGGTGGCCCTCATGTCAGTCTCGGTCGGTGAGGTGGAGGAGGGGATGACATCTGTCGGTCGGTGTCGGTATTATCCGGCCGGTATTGTCGGTCCCGGGCGGCGGGGCGGGTCATGTGATCGGTGTGGCCCCTCACCTGTCTCTCCCGGGGCCCCGGGCAGGCTCAGGTTGGTGTCGGTTCCGGTTCGGCCTCCGCTGGTGTCGCACCACACTCGGGGACGGCGCGTGAGGGACGTGACGTACGTACGCCGATCACGTGTCCTTCTGCGCGCCCCGCCCACCGATTACACACCACCCGATATAACGTCATCACCCGGCGACGCTAAATTCCCGCCCACAGCAAACCTCATAATCACGTGACATCATATTACCGGCAGAGGTGCGCGATGTGACGTCAGAAAACGGCTAAACCGAAAAGGAAGGGGCATTCCGGGGGGGGGTCATATTTCCTCTGGGGGGTGTATAGAGGGGTCAGATCTCCTCTGGGGGGTGTATGAGGGGGGGGGGCGGTCAGATCTCCTCTGGGGGGTGTATGGGGGGGGCGGTCAGATCTCCTCTGGGGGGTGTATTGGGGGGTCAGATCTCCTATGGGGGTGTATGGGGGGGCCAGATCTCCTATGGGGTGGGGGCCATATCTCCTCTGGGGTGGGGGTCAGATCTCCTCTGCGGGGTGTATGGGGGGGCCAGATCTCCTATGGGGTGGGGGTCCAATTTCCTCTGGGGGGTGTATGGGGGGGCCAGATCTCCTATGGGGTGGGGGTCAGATCTCCTCTGTGGGGTGTTGGGGGGGCCAGATCTCCTCTGGGGGGTGTATGAGGGGGGGGGGGGTGTCAGATCTCCTCTGGGGGATGTATGGGGGGGGCGGTCAGATCTCCTCTGGGGGGTGTATGGGGGGGGCCATATCACCTCTGGGGTGGGGGCCATATCTCCTCTGGGGTGGGGGTCAGATCTCCTCTGGGGGTGTATGGGGGGGCCAGATCTCCTATGGGGTGGGGGTCCAATTTCCTCTGGGGGGTGTATGGGGGGGCCAGATCTCCTATGGGGTGGGGGTCAGATTTCCTCTGGGGGGTGTATTCATGGTGTAGGGTGATAATTCTGTGGCGATTCTTTTGCAGATGGATTTTGGTCGCTCTTTGGAGCTCCTCCACATGACGGTGTTCAGTCAGTGCTTCTCTCCATGTGGAAAATATTTGGCTGTTGGGAACAACCTGGGTCAGATTGGGGTGTTCAGGTGAGTCCGGTGTGGGTGGGGCGTTGAGGTGAGTCCGGGTGTGGGTGGGGCGTTGAGGTGAGTCTGGTCTGGTCTGGTCTGGTGTGGAGGTGAGCTTGATGGAATGTGTGACGTGTTGGGTCTGAAGATGTAGAAGTGAGCCCGGTGGGGGGTGTGTGAAGGTGAACCCGGTTAAATGTGCGGGGTGTGTTGAGGGTGACCACAGTGGGGTGTTGAGGTGACCACAGTGGGGTGTTGAGGTGACCACAGTGGGGTGTTGAGGTGACCACAGTGGGGGTGTTGAGGTGACCACAGTGGGGTGTTGAGGTGACCACAGTGGGGTGTTGAGGTGAGCCCAATGAGGTTTGTGTAGATGAGCCCAGTAGAGTCAGTTGGGTGTTGAGGTGAATCCAGTGGTGTGGGTGGGGCATTGAGGTGAGCCCAGTGGTGTGGGTGGGGCATTGAGGTGAGCCCAGTGGTGTGGGTGGGGCATTGAGGTGAGCCCGGTGGTGTGGGTGGGGCGTTGAGGTGAGTCTGGTGTGGGTGGGGCATTGAGGTGAGCCCGGTGGTGGGGTGGGGCGTGAGGTGAGTCCGGTGGTGGGGGGGGGCGTTGAGGTGAATCCAGTGGTGTGGGTGGGGCGTTGAGGTGAATCCGGTGGTGTGGGTGGGGCGTTGAGGTGAGCCCGGTGGTGTGGGTGGGGCATTGAGGTGAGCCCAGTGGTGTGGGTGGGGCATTGAGGTGAGCCCAGTGGTGTGGGTGGGGCATTGAGGTGAGCCCGGTGGTGTGGGTGGGGGGCGTTGAGGTGAGTCTGGTGTGGGTGGGGCATTGAGGTGAGGTGGGGTGGTGTGGGTGGGGCGTTGAGGTGAGTCCGGTGGTGGGGGTGGGGCGTTGAGGTGAATCCAGTGGTGTGGGTGGGGCGTTGAGGTGAATCCGGTGGTGTGGGTGGGGCGTTGAGGTGAGCCCGGTGGGTGGGTGGGGCGTTGAGGTGAGGGGTGGTGGGGGGGTGGGGCGTTGAGGTGAGCCCGGTGGTGTGGGTGGGGCGTTGATGTGAGCCCGGTGGTGTGGGTGGGGCGTTGATGTGAGCGGGGGTGGTGTGGGGGGGGGCGTTGAGGTGAGCCCGGTGGTGTGGGTGGGGCGGGTGGGTGGGGGGTGGTGTGGGTGGGGGGGGGGTTGAGGTGAGCCCGGTGGTGTGGGTGGGGCGTTGAGGTGGTCTGGGGGGGTGGGGCGTTGAGGTGAGTGGGGGTGGGTGGGGCGTTGAGGTGAGTCTGGTGGGGGGGGGGTTGAGGTGAGGGGGGGATGTGGGTGGAGCGTTGAGGTGGGGGTGGTGGGGTGGGGCATTGAGGTGGGCCCGGGGGGTGGGGGGGGGGGCGTTGAGGTGAGCCCGGTGGGTGGGTGGGGCGTTGAGGTGAGCCCGGTGTGGGTGGGGCGTTGAGGTGAGCCCGGTGTGGGTGGGGCGTTGAGGTGAGGGGGGTGGTGTGGGTGGGGCGTTGAGGTGAGCCCGGGGGTGGGGTGGGGCGTTGAGGTGAGGGGGGGGGGGGGGGGGGGGTTGAGGTGGGCCCGGTGGTGGGGTGGGGGTTGGGGGGGGGGGGGGGTGGGGTGGGGGGGGGGTGGGGTGGGGGGGGGGGTGAGGTGGCGGTGGGGGGGGGGCGATTGAGGTGGGGGTGGTGTGGGTGGGGGGTTGAGGTGAGTCTGGGGGGGGGGGGGGTTGGGTGGGGGGGGGTGTGGGTGGGGCGTTGAGGTGAGCCCGGTGGGTGGGTGGGGCGTTGAGGTGGGGGCCCGGTGGTGTGGGTGGGGCGTTGGGGTGAGCCCGGTGGTGGGGGGGGGGTTGAGGTGAGGGGGGGGGTGGGGGGGGGGGGGGGGAGGTGAACCCGGTGGTGTGGGTGGGGCGTTGAGGTGGGCCCGGGGGGTGGGTGGGGGGGTTGAGGTGAGCCCGGGGTGTGGGGGGGGCGTTGAGGTGAGTCCGGTGGGTGGGGGGGGGCGTTGAGGTGAGCCCGGTGCGGGTGGGGGGTTGTGGGGGTGGGGGGGGTGGAGGTTAGGGGAGGTGACACGATGGTGTCAGGTGGCCCTGTAACTCTTTGCTCTCTCCGCAGCCTCTCCTCCGCTCTTAGCTCTGAGGCCAAGGAACAGAACAAGGAGCCTGCAGCGGTGTTCCAGGGTGAGCAGCCGGAGGGGTTCTTCCATCCCATGTAGTGTCCACTCTCTGCAAAATGGAACATTCCAGTAATGGTGTCACCTCTGTCCACAGCACATGCGGGTCCCATCTACTGCCTGAGCTCTACAGAACGTCACCTGATCAGTGCCGGGGACAATGAAGTGAAGGGCTGGCTGTGGACCGACCTGTGTAAGAAGGTGATCTGTCTTCCTCCCCGTGTAGTGATTGCTCCTCCTCCTCCTCCCCGTGTAGTGATTGCTCCTCCTCCTCCTCCCCGTGTAGTGATTGCTCCTCCTCCTCCTTCCCGTGTAGTGGCCTCCCTTCCCTGTGTAGTGATTGTTGCTCCTCCTCCTCCTCCCCGTGTAGTGGCCTCCCCTCCTTCCCGTGTAGTGGCCTCCCCTCCTCCCCGTGTAGTGGTCTCCCCGTGTAGTGGCCTCCCCTCCTCCCCGTGTAGTGGCCTCCCCTCCTCCCCGTGTAGTGATTGCTGCTCCTCCTCCCCGTGTAGTGGCCTCCCTTCCCTGTGTAGTGATTGTTGCTCCTCCTCCTCCTCCCCGTGTAGTGGCCTCCCCGTGTAGTGGTCGCCCCTCCTCCCCGTGTAGTGGTCGCCCCTCCTCCCCGTGTAGTGGCCTCCCTTCCCTGTGTAGTTATTGCTCCTCCCCTCCTCCCCGTGTAGTGGTCGCCCCTCCTCCCCGTGTAGTGGTCTCCCCTCCTCCCCGTGTAGTGGCCTCCCTTCCCTGTGTAGTGATTGTTGCTCCTCCTCCTCCTCCCCGTGTAGTGGCCTCCCTTCCCTGTGTAGTTATTGCTCCCCCTCCTCCCCGTGTAGTGGTCGCCCCTCCTCCCCGTGTAGTGAATGCTCCTCCCCATTGTGTGAAGTTCTGTAACTCTCGTCCCCCTCTCATGTCTTGTAGGGCTGTGTGGCGTCATGGAGCCGTGTGGCCCCCAGCAGGTAAGATCTGAGGATTCCAATGGTTCCTGGTAATGGTGTCCATGTGACTGACAATCTCCTATCATCTCTCCGTGTTCTTATTCCTCCAGGAACAATCTAGAAACTCCAGAAATCAACAGCCTGGTCCTGAACCCGATGGTGAGGAGATGTGTGTTCTGACCCAATGTTGGTCTATGGATCCCGTGTTTGTACAATTCTGCACTTCTTTCCGGGTCTGATGACATCAGCCTCTACACCACAGCAGCTTACACTCTAATGTTCCTTCCTTGACAAAGTCGGGGATCCTGGAATCCTCCAGGTCATGTTATGCTGACCTCCTGGGTCGGATGGACCTATAGAGGACAAGCATGTCAGGTTTTCTCGGTTCTGCTCGGGGACTGGGAAATGGCAGTTCTCCTGTGGGTTTGACAGAGGACATCACCCCAGATGAGGTGGTTCAAGCTATTGATCATCTTGCCATGAAGAAGTCGCCTGGGCCAGACGGATTGACAGCCGAGTTTTATAAGCACTTTAAGGTCACTCTGGTGTCCGTCAGGGTTGTCCTTTGAGTTCTCTGCTAGACGTGTTACAGTCATTCATTAGGAGGTTAGAGAGTGGAGGAACGCCTTTGGACATTCCAGGTGAGCTTCCTCTGAGGATCATGGCCTATGCTGATGGTGTGTTTTCATCTCTGGGGCGGTGGTCTCGGTGACGGGGCGGAGGAGGTGGTCTCGGTGACGGGGCGGAGGAGGTGGTCTCGGTGACGGGGCCGAGGAGGTGGTCTCGGTGACGGGGCGGAGGAGGTGGTCTCGGTGACGGGGCGGAGGAGGTGGTCTCGGTGACGGGGGCCGAGGAGGTGGTCTCGGTGACGGGGCCGAGGAGGTGGTCTCGGTGACGGGGGCCGAGGAGGTGGTCTCGGTGACGGGGCCGAGGAGGTGGTCTTGGTGATTGGGTGGAGGAGGTGGTCTCGGTGATTGGTTGAGGAGGTGGTCTCAATGATGGTGCGGTATGCTGAGGCATCTGGCAAGTGATGGTGGAGGAAATGAAGTCTCTTCATAGGAAGGCCCTGGAGAGGAGGGTTGTTGAATCCGCCTTTAGTGAGCCATTGGCCTTGAGGGATTTCCCCGGCCCGGTTATGGGGGAGGGATTTCCCCGGCCCGGTTATGGGGGAGGGATTTCCCCGGCCCGGTTATGGGGGAGGGATTTCCCCGGCCCGGTTATGGGGGAGGGATTGCCCAGGTATGGGGGAGGGATTGCCCGGGCCCGGTTATGGGGGAGGGATGGCCCACTTATGGGGGAGGGATTGCCCGAGCCCGGTTATGGGGGAGGGATGGCCCACTTATGGGGGAGGGATTGCCCAGGCCCACTTATGGGGGAGGTGTCATGATCGCGGCGTCAGACCCCAGACCTTCTCACCAAACTCGTGACCGAAGGACCAGCCGATCTAAAACCGCGATGTGACGTGTGTAACAAGGCCACACTCAGCTGCACCCTGCACAGCGATTGTCCAGCTAATGGAACGCAATCGACGCACCCAGCAGCCTGAATGCGCTTGTTACTGGGTCGGGTTAATTACGCAGCTAACCCTTCACAGTCACCACCTCTTTTTGTACAGAGGAAGGGGAAACTCTCTTTATCAAATATACACTGTAATGGTTGAAAAGTCGCCTGTCCAATACGGTCACCGCAGGCCGATTGGGCAGAGGATTAAACAAACACAGTAGCGTCTCTTCAGAAGGCAGGGATTCATGAATTGCAAGTAAGCGCTTTAGAAACAGTTTAACACTTTCAGAAAGAAAGATTTATTACTAAAAGAGTCAAACAGGTGCAATAAAATATTTACAAAGAGATGTAACTAAGATATATATATATATATATATATATATATATATATATATATATATATATATATATATACATAGAAAACAGCTCAGCACAGAGATAACAGGGAGGAGTTAGAAGGGGAAGTTACTTGCCATGTTCAGCCTTAAGGTAAGCAGATCCAAGTTGCAGAGCGAAGGGTCTCTGATCTCCTCTGTTACCATGTTAAAAATTGGGAGATGTGTTTAGCTTAACTCTTTAGGCCTGTTAGCCTGAGTTTTTAAAAAGTCCCCCAGCAGGGGGGGTGGCTCTGAGTAACTGACCAATACGCTGTTTAGGGCGGGGTCAGTTGGGCGAACTCTGAATTAGAACCAACATCTGTCATAATCCATGACATGAAACATCGGGGAAACCAGATCTGTTACAAATGTTATCTTGTTTGTGCTTCTGGGGAATGCCTTGAACTCTGGAGAAGGTTCTGCCATCCTTCCCCGAGGTGTGAAATCACACAGGTCCCTTGGACAGAGAGTCTGTGTCAGGGACCATCGCGACGCATGGGTCTACACAGGCATAGGTGTCTGCCAAGACGTGTAGGTGGCAGGGCACTAGGACCCAGGCGCACCCGTCGTCTTGACCGTACTAGGCAGGCACTAGGACCTAGGCTACGCCTGTCAGGTGCAGGGCGGGCTACTTAAGCCAGCTCTGCACAAACACTTGTTGCCGAATGGTCTTTGTATCCTGTTACCTGTGTTGTGAGTATCTCGATCTGGATTGTTTGACCTTGCTGCCTTCTCCTGTCCTGACCCTTGGCCTGCCTGACTCTGCTCCTGGATGTTCCCCTTTAAATCTGATCTTTTGGTATTGACCCTGCGTGTGACCCGACTATCCTTTGCCTACCGTTTTGTACTTCACCGACCTGCTAGTTACCCACCCGGCCTGTATGACTCTGATTTAGCTCATCCATCCACCCCGCAGGGATCACTAGGCTCCCTCACATCAGACTCTTAGCCCCCTGGAGCTCCTGTCAGACTCCTCTACCCCTGTTGGAGATACCTAGCAGCTGCGACCTGGTACCGGAGCGCTCCAAGTCCATCCCCACCATCAGGGGCCCTGGTGAACAAGTGCTTAGACTCTCCGCACTCTGGGGAGGCTCTGCCAGGGGATTGATAGAGGTGCTGTCAGGCGGTCCATTACAGTACCATTCGGCCATGACTGAGTCTGGAGGGAATCCTTCCCCCTTTGAAGTGATGTGTCAACATTTGTCCGCCCCTGACGCAGGCAGTAACTGCCCTGCAGGACAAATGCGCCCCGATTGGAAGATCGGTTTGACACTTTGACTGTGTCCGGGGATCCCCCCCTCAGAGCCAGGCCTTAGCTGTTTGACGCTGAGGTAACCTCTGGATCGCTCATAGGGGCTGCAGCTCCACCCAGCCGAACCCCCGCGTGCCCATGCCTGAACGTTTTTGGGGAGGAGCATCGAGCACGTTTTAGGACATTTTAAAAATGCCTGTTACTTATATTTTGACTTACAACCTCGTTCGTTTACCACGGAGTCGGTCACAAGTAGGATTTGTAATTTCCTTGCTGCAAGACGAACCCCAGGATTGGGCCCTTAGACTAAGGGAAACGCTGCAGGACCCCCAATTGCAGACTTTGGACGCATTTTTTAAAAGCCATGTCGGTCCTCTATGACGACCCCCAACGGGCGGTTTCGGCTGAAACCACCCTTTATGCCCTACGACAGGTCGTCGAGCTGCGGAGGATTATGCCTCCGAGTTCAGGCGATGGGATGGGGGACACGCATTGGAACGACGCAGCCCTGCGTCACCAATTCCGGGTCGGACTCTCGGAGGGGCTTAAAGATGAAGTTAGCCCGGGTTGGCCTCCCCGAGTCCCTAAAGGATCTGATCGACCTGGCGATACAAATTGATCGCAGGTTACGGGAACGCCGGTCTGAGTGACAGGTCAGGGTCAAGGAGCTACTTGGAACACCCTCCAGGGGCCACGAGGTCACCCCCGTTCGTACCTGCCGATGTTCCACCAGCCGTTCCCACTGGACACTTCTGAGCCTATGCCAGCTGGGATTGGCTCGGCAGGCCCTCTCCCCCGAGAACGCTAGAGAAGACGTGCCAGGAAACCTGTGCTTTATAACTTTTACTGCGAGGAAGCTGGACTTGCTGTGCGCGCGAACTGCCCAGTAAAGACACGTAAGTCACGATCTACAGTTCCTTTGTCTCTGAGTAACATAAGTCAATCCAGTTACTTAGCGGGTTACCCCCTCTTGTTTCAGCTGCCGGAAAGTAAACTGTGGGGGGGGAGACCACTGCAATCATTTGATTCGGGGGCCTGCAGTTTGCATTCCTTGATCTTGGTTTTGCCCGCCAGCAGGGGATACCACTACAGGCCAGGAAATGGGGGCTTAATTTGTTCTTGGCTGATGGCTCTCAGATAAAATCAGGTTTAGTTGACCAAGAAACCCCGTCCCATACTCACCACCATATCGGGCTCCCACCAGGAGTTGTTTACATTTGACGCTATTGCGTCACCCCTTTTTCCAGTGATTCTGGGGCTCTTCCGTGGCTGCAGGCCCACGACCCCCCAGATCAATTGGGTCTCTTAGTTTTTCCTTCTGACTATATTGTCAGGAAAACTGCCATGCCCCGGGGCCCCCAAAATCTCTCTATGTGCTGAGGAGGATGCTAGCTTAAGACAGGTTTGTGCCAGCAGCATGCCACGGGTATTTAGATGTGTTTAGTAAACGGGGGGATGACAACATTACCCCCACATCGACCATATGATTTGTCCCATCGATTTATTGCCAAGGTTTTACTGAGATCCCTTTTGGTCGTATCTTTCCACTGTCTGAGAGAGGAATTGGGGGGTATTGAAAGGAGTACATTGAGGATGAATCTCCAGAAGAGGTTCATCCGCCCTTCCACACTCACCGGCAGGGGCGGTAAGCCGTTTTTCTTTGTGGAGAAAAAGAAGACAGATAACATTGAGGCCCTGTGTGGATTATAGGGAATTAAAGTCGGGTTAACCATTAAAAAAAGACCTGCAGACCCCCCCTACCGTTGGTTCCCGAGTTGTTTCAAAGGCGGCCTTAAGGACAGCGGTCTGCTTCACCGAAGTGGATCTGCGTGGGGCATATAACTTGGTACGCATCCGGGTAGGGGGGATGAGTGGATAGACAGCCTTCCGTACTAGTTCTGGTCACTTTGAGGACCTTGTTCTCCTGGTCATGCCTTTTGGACCATGCAATGCCCCGGCTACGTTTTCACGTTTCTCCCATGCATTTTGTGAATGATGTGTGTTAGAGATTTCTTGCGACATTTTTG